TAAAATCTTTAGAATCAGCTGTGGGGCGGAGTTTGCACTGAAGTGGATTGGGGGAAAAAATTGCGCATGCGTGTCATGTGCCTGTCTGTCAATGGGAGGAAGCCACGCCCTATTTTGGAGCTCCCACCCCGTTTTGGAGTTCCCGCCCCCATTTGGAGATCTCCGGGCTGCAGTTATACCCTTCTCCCCTTGGGGGAGGAGACCGCCAAAAGATTTTAAAGTACCATTTCCATGGTAACGCGATTTCAAAATGGTTTTCACATGATGAATCTTGGGCTTCTACGGTTTCAAATGATGTATAATTTATGATGATTACTAAAAGATTTGATAGAGAAAAAGGACAACAACAAAAAAGAGTGCCAAACGTCCCACAGTTAAGGGGTTAATAAATCTTTGAGGTTTTGTGTTTCTATCTTAGCTTATTTACACATTTGCAACATGACTAAAGACTTGTTTGCTCAGAAGAGTTCCTAACATATTGTACAGTGAGGTAAAACAGTCCCTCTACTGCCGTCATAAAAATACAACTACTAGGTTTTATGTAGCATTTTAAACCTAAATTTAATGTTCAATAAAATACATAATGTAGCAAAATATTGGGTTTAGCAGTTTTAAACCATCCTTTATGCAAAATAGAAATACTTGTGTGTCTGTAACTGTAACATGAAACAACGTGCATTTGGGTGCAACTTAAGCAATGACATACATCCAAGTCCACAAGACGAAGGGAAGGCCATAAATATGTTAACTGGAACGCAGCTTAAGACAGTGATATTAAAAGAGCAAACCCAGCATACACCTGACTGATGATGCATGGTATATGCACTTAAGTGACAGATTTTATTAGTTATTTATTACTGTGATATTTCGAAAGCCACTGAGTTTGATTACCCATAAAAAGAAGATTCTGTATGTTTGTATACATTCCTAATAGTGCTGGATGCTATTTATGAGTTATTGCTCCTAAATGTGACTTTTCTGCTCTAATTACACTGAACATTTACATATACAGCACCACTTTGCATTGGCAGCACATGCTTCAGTGCTTTTGTAAGTGTTTATAGGCCCGTAGTTTAACACAGATCAGAATCATCATCATCACAGAACAACAATGACTTCCATCGTCATTTTTATTTCGATGCTTGTAGTATTTTATCAGGGTTTGTATAATTAGACTAGATCTTTATTGCACAAATTAACATGTGTCATACTTTGGTATTTCATGGTATATGTGACTTTTTTAGAGTGCCGAGGACAGGTCGTCATCACTCAGACACCGTTAACAACAGCAGCCCAACCAGGACAAGAAGTGAAATTAAACTGCAAAGCCAACAGGCCGGTGCATCTTAATGACCACTTGGCTTGGTACTTCAGGGAACCTGGAGGAGCTACTAAACTACTCATACACCGTGCCACCATTCGATTCACTGGAACTCCTTCTAGATTCACAGGAAGTGGACATGGAGCGGACTTTACTCTGACCATCAGTGGAGTCCGGCCTGAAGATGCAGGACATTACTTCTGTCAGAGTGACCACACTGGTGCAATAGTCACACGGTGATAAAGAGCCGCACAAAAACCTCCGTCACACTACACTGCACTGATACAGCTGAGAGACACTGCAGCCGCTCAAACATCGCACACACACACACACACACACACGCATGTTGTGTTTCCATGTTTTATGGGGACATTCCATAGGCGTAATGGTTTTTATACTGTATGTGCTATTGCCCTACACCAACCCTACCCCTAAACCTACCCCTTACAGGAAACTTTGTGCATTTTTACTTTCTCAAAAAAACTCATTCTGTATGATTTATAAGCTTGTTTCCTCATGGGGACCTCAAAAATGTCCCCACAAGGTCAAAATTTACTAGTATTACTATCCTTGTGGGGACATTTGGTCCCCATAACGTGATAAATACCAGGTACACACACACACACACACACACACA